TTATCGCCTCCAAATCGCCAAACTACCAGTTACCATATTGTAAAGATCAACCCAAACTTTAAAGTAACTGAGATGAAAAGATCAAATTTATTTATCCAATCAACTACTAAATAAGTATTGAATTTACAAGAAATTAATATATGCACAATAATGGTAAGAAATGAGATACTCTTCTGTTAATTGGACCAGATTCAAAAATGTATATATACATATGTACATGCATATATTTTTTAAATTGGTCCCGATAACAGAAAAGTATTACAAATAATACAAAAGAAAACTGTTTTTAACTTTTTTGAAATACTTTTATACGCTTACTCACTCTTGCTTACTCTATTTAAATTAAATGTGGGGATACTCAGATAACCTGCACTTGGCGAACTTCGTGAAATCGCGTTCGGCAACTTAGGCAATACGCGCCATACAGTGGGAGGATAGCTTAGGTTTAGACCTTCCCTATATTAGGAAAAAGGGAAGGGATATTTTCTTTCAATATGTAGATACTTTGCTTTGGCTGTCACGTGACTTTGCAGATGAATCTTATTGCTGATCACATGAATTTGTCAGCAAACATAGTGAATACGCTCATATGATGTTTGTTGTTCCGCATGATCATTCGCTATTTAATTATTTTATTAAAACAAAATATTATTATTTAATAGACTATTAAAACTATTAGATGTCTAAATACTATTAAATCATAATTATTAATTAACGGGCTTCAGAAGTTGCCGCAACCAGTCGCTATACTAAAAAAATTTTAGAAATAAAATTACCATTAAAATTATTAATGATTTAAAAATTAAATAATTACTTATTACCAAATTCATAATTATTAAATATATTAATATTAATACTGGGCTCCCAGTTGCCAAAAAATTGCACCAAGTGCCGGTTATCCGAGTCTTCCATTAAATATTTACAAATGAGTGGATTTTTACTTAATACAAAACAATTTTACCAGATAGAACATAGCAGAAGTAACTTTTTGAGTTCTTATCTGGGTGCATATAAACAAAAATACAGCAAGATATAATTGACACTTTGATGCAAATAAATGTTTCCTTTTAAGACTTTTAGAGATCCTACGCACTTAGAAGATTCTAATGATTATTTACATTTAATGATGAATTATACATAACATTTTGAATTTTCTGTTTGTGTTATTACTAGCATTAGTAAATTTGAAATAATATGTATTTCCTTTTATATGACATAACTTTCACAAAAGTTTTAAATTACATATTAATCAAAAAATTAATTTATACCTGAATTCCACTTATGGAAAATTAAGTTTGTGCTACAGCACAATTCGTTTGGCTTTCCTATGGCAATTTTATCCACATGGAAATTACCAAAACTAGTGTACTTAAGTAGCAAGCACTCAGTTAAAATTTTCTTGTGTTCTTGGCAATGTCCTGATTAAAGCTTCTGAAGAAAAGCACGAATAAAATCATTCATCACATCCAGGGCTGTGGAGTCAGAATCCGAGTCAGGCAGATTTTGGGGTAAAAAAAGTAGGAGCTGGAGTCGATAAAAACATGTAGACTCTTGACTTCGGCTCGTTTGAATTTGAAATGAAATTAAAATGAATTGAAAAAAATTAATGATAAGCTGAATATATTATTTTTATTTATGAACTATATACATTAATAAATAGTTATTTTCTATTTTATTGACTAAGTAAATACAATACAAACTCCGTAATCCGGACTCGTTGGAACTTCGGCGATTCCAGATAATAGATCATCAATTTAAATCTGGTAAGATGGCATGCAAAAAATATACAATTAAAAATATTAAACCGTAATTTATGAAATAAAGAGAAATTATGATCTAAAGGATATCAAAATTTACAAAAAAAAAGCTTAATATTTATTTGTTTACTTTATTAAACATTTCAGTACTTTTCCATTTTGCCGGCGCAGGCGATAAAGTCGCCAAAAATGGTATAACCAATGCCAAACGGTATATCCTTGCTGGTAACCTTTTACCCTTGAATTTCAAAACAAGTAGCAGCAATTTCTTATCAGATTGATTCTTTAAATACTGATATAAAATTAAATAGAATTTTTATCAGATAGTTCAATTAATTTTATGCCCTAAGTGACAGAAATTACATTCAACGTGTTAGGCTTAGCTTCACCGGCGCTGTGCATGTTGCTTCTTTTTCTTTCGGAAAAATCAAAATTTCTTCTTCGTTTCTGCTAAATAAACTTCTTTAGAGCATATCGTGCTGATAATGTGATATAAATTACTTAAATGGCAGATATATTTTGAAAATATAGTAGCAAACCACAAATGCAAGTTACATGTTTAAGTTAGCCAAGTAAATATGTAACGTGCATTTGTGGTTTGCTTATTTCTTTCTACTATATTTTCAAAATATATCTTCCATTTAAGTAATTTCTATCACTAAGGTAATTAAGTCAATTAGGATGCAATCACACCGCTCACCCGAAGGCGAAAATATAGAAAAAGCGAAGTCAAGGGTTAAATTTATCAATTCTAATGAGAATGCTCTAACGAAGTAAAGAACTGCAGTTTTACATAATTTCTGAATAAGCTGTTCATACAAATTGAAATAATTCTTGCATTTAAATTTGTATTCCATAAGATTTAAGATTTAACTTGAAATTAATGTAGATGATTACTAACAGAACTAGATTTTTGTAGCGTAGTTTAGAGATGATATCACTTGGGGTCATGTGATATGAACCGGTGAATCAGGATGTTGAACCACGAGATCATAGTAAATTCTTAAATTAATGTCTTTTTACAAATTTATTTTCTTTTTACAAAATTTTAAATATTAAAATGTTTATGCTTTCAAAATAAAAAATTCTTAGAACTAACATTTGTTATTTATGTGAATACCGTGTGTTGTCGCCAATAAAGTCTGCTTGGCGAGATTTGCGCCGGCCAAACAGAAAAGTACCAACATTTCTTTCAATGTAAGTTGTTTAAGTTGCTTCATTTTTTGTGCTAAACGTGCATGCGTAAAGCATGCAACAAATAAAAAGGTTGTGGCTTTGAGGTTCGGCTTATAGATCATTCCAAATAATGGAAGTCCAGATTACAGTCTTTGTACTGTATAAGGGACGAGGATGGATATGATATTTGCCATTAGTGATTAAACTGATTCATTTAGTTACAGCTGGTAAATTTAGGCAAGCAGCAATAGCAGCAAGAACTCCCAAAATTGATGCCATTCTTAGGAAGCAAGCAGGAAAAAGGGCAATTATCGATCAAGCAAAGCAATAAGGAAGTACATATTTGATGATAAAGAGGTTGTTAGAATTAAGAGCCTTTTTAGAAGATGTAGATAACCCTAATGTTTCACTAACAGAAAGACTGTGAAATGATCTTGCAAAATTGGAAACTTCTTTCTACAACGTATATAGCCACAAAAAGGCTGTAATCTGAAGAATTGACAGGAGGCGAGATTGGAAGAATGTGATGTTCGTTCCTTCTGAAATGGAGGGCTTATTGCAGAAGGAATCATTTCTTCAATGAAGAGAAGCTAGTTTGCTAGACAATAGATCTTGCTGGGTTCAATATATGTAGATCCGAAACACCGAATTTTTTTAGATGATGAACAAATTAAAACTGCAAAGAAAGCCAACTATGAACTTTCATTAAGAATGAAATTATTCTCAGAACAATTGGAGAATTCGAATCAGGACAGTCAAACTGCAGACATTGTAATTGAGTTATCATTTTCTTTCAGTGATGAATTAGATTTTGAGAAATATTTTTGGATAACATTGAAAAGGCTAAGGCAAAGCGAATGAAGATGGATATAAAAATGAAAAAATACAAACAAGATTTCTGCATGGCCCTTTGAAGAAATAGAGAAATATGATTGCACTTGCAAGACACCCCTTTTAGAACTTATAAAAATCTATTCTGAAAAGTTAAAAGAAGTACCCCTAAAAGTAACAGCTATTCCTCCTCCTCAAGTTAGTGTGGGAAGACTCTTTTCAGTTCTGAATTTTATCAAATTGAATCTATGGCCCTCTAACAAAGATCTTGCCGAAGCTATAGTGTTTCTTAGAAATAACTAATGCTAGTTTTTCCATTTCATAATAAATTTTAATTAATATAAATAATTTGTTATATGATAATTTTTTTTTTCTGTAGCATATGTTACTTCTTTTATATTAATAAAATAATCTGTAACATATGCATATATGTTTACATACATATATGAAGGAGTCAGAGTCTTTAAAATTCCGGGAGTCGGAGTCAGTCATTTTCCCTACCGACTCCACAGCCCTGATCACATCACAAGCGTGCGAGAACATCATTCTCATCAAAATACAAATTAAACACAATAGCATACTTTAAAAACACATTTTAATATACAACTGCAATATACTTAGGGGAAAGTGCAGAATTGCCCACTGCTTGGTGCATTTTTAAGAATTGCACATACTCGGTATCCATGTGCACATCGACCTATTTTCACTTTAAAAAAATCCCAAAAATGTACAAAAAAGACACTGTGCACTCCCTTGACTTAATCCATGTACACATCGACCTATTTTACTTAAAAAGTCAAAGAAAATTGACAAAAGTCCAATTTTTCTTACTCTTGTCAAAAGCGCCAAACAAATAAGATAGTTGTAGGCGATTCTGCACTTTACCCTATACTTATTCATTATTAAAAATTCTGAAATCAATGCAAAATGATTATAAGCAACACAGTTCAAGTTAAATTTACATATAGCTTTTGAATACTGTTTAATTGTATCAGCATAGTGTACCTTCATTTGTAATAAACGTGTCGAAACTAATAAAATTCTTAAAAGAATTAGGGCTAAGCACTCCAACTATCTTCGAAAACAGGCAGTTTTTGTAAAAATACGGTAATACATGTACAGCTCAAGTAGTCAAACCCGAAAAATGCATGATTAACAAAATATTTTATGTTCTAATCTAATATTCATAAAATTTGATACGCCCTCATAAAAAATAAAATTGATAATTATTCTTACGTTTGATTACTCTATTTAACCAAATACTCGAAAGCTAAAAACAAGACTTTAACCAAAGTTCAAAACGAGTGACACACGAACTCACCTATTCCGCATTTGAACAAGGGTAAATAATATTCCCTGGTGTTGCCATAATTTTTCAAAGATCTTATTTTACAAACATCAATTTTCAGTCTTTTTTATCCAAGTATTTAGCATATTACGCATTTGCCTTTTTTTAACATTTACCCTCTCATCATATTAGAATTTTTAAAAACATGCGTTTTTCTTAGTATGAGTTTTAAATTGAAAAAGAAAATAAAAATAATTAAAAACGACGTTATTTGTTTTACATTATCCAGGGCTTGATTTTTCGTTACCGTATTTCCTCCTACGGGCCCTAGTCTGGACACCGTCGAGATAGAAGAACGGGTCGTTTTTTGCGATCTACTCGACAGAGAGCGAGTCTGGTGTCATCGTCTCGATCATTACAGAGATCGACGCGTCGGAAATTTTCCGTCAGCTGTCCAGCTGCCGTTTATGTTTCTTGCTGTCGTTTTAAGGCCCGTCTACACGTACCGATTTTATCGGCCGACTTTCTCGCAGAGGAACAATTTTCAGGATGTACGCATGCGCTAAAAATCTGTCATGTTCTCTGCGACGATTTCAGAGCTAGTGTTCACCGCTCACTAGCCGACGATAAAATCGGCGACTATAGCCAATTAGATTGCTTCCAGAGATCTCGTGCTTTTCTCTCTCTCTCATTTTGGAATAAATAATAAACATTTTCGTTGGAGCGAAAATCAAATTTTTCAATTGATTGATTTTTATAGAGACCATGCTGTGTTGTGGGACACAAATAACATAAATTATAAAAATAAAAAGTTAATAGATCTAAACTGAGGACGGCGGAGGTCACGGATTGTTGTTGGAAGTGTACGTAATAGATATTTTAATTTCTTAAGATTTGTGAAAAATTTGAGTATTTCGCAATAGAAATAACGCATTTGATGCTGACGATTCTACATTATTTATTTATTCTACTTTACCAATGCCTTAATTAAATTTTAGTGAAAATAATATATGTGGTGTTTTCCTATTTCACATATAAAGAAGGGGTGGATACTTTTAATTTAAAATTGTAATTTTTAAACTAATGTATATATCAATGTACTTAATTTCATGTTTTGATGAGTAATTTGTAAATTTTGAAATTTTATGTTTTAAATTATAATGTATTTACCCTCTACTTTTATTTTAATTTGTAGTGTATAAAAATTTAATACATTAGACATGCATTAAAGAATCTGCAGTATATAATTCAAACTATGCACATCCTAAATTCAATATTTACATTAAATTGCTTTGAGTTAAAAAAATTTATTTAAGTAGTTTTAACTGTACCGATATCTATGTCAATTTCCAATAGTTTTTAGAATCTCCTGTATAAAACAAGTTAAATTCCTATATAATTTTTGGTTAAACTAAATTCTTGTAAATAATATAATGCATGATTTATAATTAGTTATCAGATTTTTTTAAGGGGTCTACTTTTAGATATTACATCAGTTTTCTGTATATTTATTCAGATCAAAAAAGTGCTTGGTTTGGGTTTAATTAATTACGGCAAAGCCTCGAGAGCTACCTGTCTTAAGTGAGGGTTGCCTTCGTGGAAGACATTCTAAGGGAAACTAGCTCGTATACACGTAACACATGGAGAAAACAACGAAAACGTCCATGCAGTCAGCTCGTTCGCGGCATTCCAACCTTGGACCGAACTTCCAGTGTTCAGCGATTTTACCGCTCGGCCGCTGGTGGGATCGATTTTAGAAAGGTATAAATAGGAATATGTGCTGCAATTTCTTTCACTGCATCTGTTAATATATTTATAATACAGTTTATATATATATATATATATATTTAAAACAGATTTTGTGTGCCTTAAACTTCTATGCTTCTGGAAGTTACCAATGATATATTGGTAATGACAGATACATTGGTAATGACGCCCATGCGTCCAGCCCGTTCGCGGGATCTGAACCTCGGACCGCACTATCAGTATTCGGAGATTTTACCGCTCTGGCCGCTAGTGGGATCGACTTAAAAAGGGCATAAATAGGAATATGTATTGCAATTTACTTTCACTGCATATGTTTATATATATATGTGTGTGTTTGTGTGTGTGCAAGATGATATGTTTTATGATTTAACATATAGTTATTTAATTCTTTTTATTTTCCTTCCTATTACTTTTGTTAAAAATTTGTTATATTTTTACTCACTAGTAAATCATCTTTTAATGCATCAAACCAAAGCTTTCTGCTTATCAGTATCTACGATACATACTAATAATATAGCTACCATAATCTAGCTACGTGATAACTATAATTCCTGAATAAATAAAATTATTGATATAATCATGGGTTGCTAAAAATTAAATTTTTTGAATTATTATTGCATAATTTAAAAATTATTATTTTCATTAGGAATATTAAACACGCGTACGCGATGCTATATTCCAATGATTTGACTTATGACGTTGTTGCATAACCTTTTCAGCCAAAATAATGTATTTTAATCATAAAATTCCTGTTAACAAATAGTTTACAAACATGTAACCTTTTAGAAAATTTCCATTTTGCAAAAGATCTTACGTAAAATTATGTTTACGTTTCTTCAGATACCTGAAGTTTTGAAAAGGCCATTTCTTTCTGCGTTTAAAATATCCATTAACGTTCACCATTTCTTTTTTCCATACTCTTTACTAAATGTCCCATCCAGCAGCGGATTTTTTCGGAAAATTTCACCATTTACTGGAACTCGTTGCTTTTTTTTTCTACCGCTATCCTCAGTAATAAACACGTGCGAAACAGCCCCTTTGACAACAAACTACCCCCTTCCCGTCAGCCTCGAGCAATGTAGAGGTGAGATAGATTGGTTGATATGCAATAAACGTCACTTCCGGACGGAATTTCCACTTCATTTTCCGCCGACGGAATTTGAAGGGGTCAGACTCGCTCTCCCTTCTGCTGTCGAGTGGAAAGAGAATTCCGACTGGTTTTCCGATATTGATCTCGACCGGTGTCCAGACTAGACCCCTACGTTTTAATAACTTTAAAGTAAAGGTCTCCTACCACCTGATCTGACCACCACTATGAGAGCTCCCGACCAAAGGAATAAACCAAGCAGGATAAAGCTCTCATAGCGTATTAATTAAACTAAGAAAAATTTAAAGATAAAGAGAAATTTAATAAATTATTAAATTAATTTTGAATAGTTAAATAGGAAAAAAAGTATCGGTCCTCGTCTTATGTGAGGCATTGTCCGGAATGACAATTCCACTTAGATGCTAAGAAGCAGCTCAGGTAATCTCCGTCTGAGTTAACCCTGATTATACATTAACCCCCCCCGAGCGTTACGGGTTTTTTCAGGAAACGACGTAAAAATAATCGTTTTCTTGCCAGGTCTGTCGCAAAGCGGCAAGCATTTTACTCAACTGCTTCAAAGCGGGCCCCCCTTACCATGTGGATAAATTAAGCTAATTCTCCCCTCCGTTGAATTTAGCGAGTGAAATTAGTTTTTCTCCCTATGGTATCTTCGTCACGAGACTGGTTGCTAAAATAGTATTTCATCTCCTATTTGGCTACTTTATAATTGCGCACTAACACATATACTATATATACTCGTACCTTAAATCAAGATATGTGCCAATACAGAAAGTTAATCAATATACATCAGTAAGAGAAACTCATAAAATGCTTTAAATTTCCAGTTCTTAAGGATTGCTTCGATAATGGTGAAAAATTAATCTTGCATTTTTTATCCTTATTTTCTGAGGAAATACTTTTTAATATACAAAGGGAATTTGTGAGAATTTTTTTCTCTCGTGTTCCAATTTTTTTCGAATACAAATTATCGCAACTTATTTTAGTATTATGTTTATATTAATTTCAAATATTATAAGTTTATTCCAGTTTAAAGTGTTAGATTTAAATAATTCTTTAGATTGCATCATAAATTTATTAGTAGTTAGTTATTTATGACAGCGTTTTGACTTGTGAGAAATAAATAAAGTATTGTAATTGCGAAACATTTCGATTTTCATATTTCAAAGGAAATTTCCATCATGACGTTTACACGTACGAATGTCGCATAACTTAACGTAAAATGTTGAAATTTTATATTTGGGACTTATGACTAGTTTTAGCGCGACGTATGTCCGTACGTATGTATGCATGTATATCGCATAACTCAACAGCAGAATAGATGAAGTAGCTGATGAATGAGATCAGGCAGTTCGGCTTTTATAGAGTAAAATCACTTTGGGGGTAGAAAACAAGTAAACAGCTTGGACAAGGAGCTTCTTGAGAAAATAAATGTATTTTCGAGTTACAATGAAATTTCCTTGTAATTAGCTATATATGATTTACAAGCAAGTATTTATATACTCGTGCATTATCGAGATGTTAATAGAAACCAAAAAAAAATTTCTTTGTAGCAAAATTGTTAACGATATTATTTCTCCAAGACATTTACGCAGGTGTGTATTCTTTTCATGAATGATGAAAATAAGTTAACATTTTTTCGAGCAGATGCTCCAACTTATAAGCTTGAAATTAAGTATGAAAACATAAACTCTTATTTTGGTTATGTGCTGAAAAAGATATACCCTTTCAAAGAAAACACCTAATAGCGGAATCTCCAAGTTGACTTCAACGTAAATACCTCCAGGGGGTACTGAACTAAGCTTACCCCTTGTACATTTTCTACTTTATAGGGAGACATTACCTTTGTGCAAGGACAAAAAGATCCGCTATCTATTTCTCATCTTTCATTTTGTTAACTATGACGAGAAATGGAGCTGAAGTAAATTCTAAATTTATTCTTCTTCAAAGACTCTGATTTCAAGTTGTGTATTTGCCGTCTGTTAGTAATTTAAACTATCCTGGCTTTAAATTCAGAAACATCTTTTCATCAGTAATTACAGTACATATAAACACCAATATCACTATTTAAATTCTGACTTTAAAAACTCATTTATGTTAAACTATGGAAAGCGCAATATATATATATATATATATATATATATATTTAGCAGTTTATTTCGTGGAAATTTATCACAT